GAAGGTGAAGGATTTGGGTGGGGGCACCTCATGGATGGCAGATACTCGGTTCCACAAGTTCACAGCAAACTCCTGTGCAGAGGAAGGCGGGTCAGCAAGCGCATGCACACACATCCCTTCAGAACAGCACCCATCGATTCAGACCTTGGGCCCCTCCCTGCCTCTCCCCGCCCTCCCCCTCCTCACCCGGGCCTGGTGATGGAAAGTACACCTCTCGTTGTAGTCCTGGAACCGCTTCTCTTGGCGAGCTGCCTTGCTTACCTGTGAGACACATAGGGGGCTACTGTGCTTCGCTGGGACAGCGTGGGCTCGTCAGACTAGCTACCATTCACAGAGGCCTTTCCACGCTTTGCCCAGATTCTCTCTGTAAGCCTCAGACTCTGTGTGGTGAGTCACATTATTACCCCCTTTTACAGGTGAGAATGCTGACGAGTGGACAAGTAAACTGACCCAAAGCCACATACTAACTGGAAGAGCCAGGTCCTGACTCAGTCCTTGCTCTCCACTCTGCCCTGCTGCCCTGAGAATGCCCAGCCCACCCCAGCCCTCTGTAGCCACCTGGGGGTGGAAGTCCCACCCTGGGCCTCTGGTCCCCGTGCATGGACCTCCCAGGACAGACCTCGCTGGACAGACCTCCCAGCACGGCAGGCCTAGGTGGCTTGTCTTCTCCGCACTGAGCCACTGTCCCAACAACTGTTAGGCTGCTCTCCACACAGCCCTCTGCTCAGGGCCCCGCCTGCCTGCCTTCGGGCCTCTCGCTCCTCGCCGCCCAGCCCCTTACCATGGCAGAGCAGTTGTAATAGTCTTTGTGATTTGGCTTCCAGGACTTGAGGCAGCGCCAGCAGAATCCATGGTTGCATTTGGCGCAGGTCATGCTACGGAGGAAGCTATCTGGTCAGAGGACTCCTGCCTCTGGCCAGGGCCGCGCCAGGAAAGCCAGGGGCCTGGATGCACACGGACGGTGTCCCTGGCCCCTCCACGCCCTAACCTGACCAGTTCCTACTGAAAGCACCCTGGCTTCTGAGTCCCCACACACTAGACTAAACACGGGGAACATGAGCTGAGGGCGTCGCTCTGGAGGGTGCCCAGAGGGGGTAGTTGAGTAACTGCCCTTGTTGCTCAGCTTTTCAGAAGCCCCACCACCCCTTTCCTACCACCAGGCCTCTACTCTCTCCTGTGCCTGCCGACTCCCCAGGGCCCACAGCACCCGTTCTTACTGCAGACACCCTTCGTTCTTCTCGATGGGGGTCTGACAGCTGGGACAGCGCTTAGAGATGAGCTTGGCCAGGTGCTTGCTCTGGGCCTCCACACTCATGCCGTCGTAGTAGCCGCCATCGTCGACCCACTGAGACATGTGGCCACAGCTGGCAGGGTAGTGTGCCTAGAGCAGGACGGGGAGGTGAGGACACAGTCCAGCCCTCGCTCAGGGCGGCCTTCCTGCTATTGTTCGAGGGAGGCGGAAGGGAGGGAGGCTCCATTTGGAGGATGACAGGAGGAGGAACAAAGCTCAACTCGGTGGCGGAGGATGAGGACAAGGCAGAATGTGTGTGCTGAGCAGGGACGGGTGTGGGTCCCGGCTCAGCATCAGGGCTGGGGTGGGCACCCACCTCAGGGAAGCTACAGTTGAAGCAGGAGGCCCAGCCACACTTGGAGCAGGTGGTCCCTGAGCCCAGGCCCTGGCGGCACAGGATGCGGTCACAGCCCTGGGGGTTGGTGCACCACGTCAGGTTGGAGCAGCTGTCCACGTAGCCACGCAGCAGGGCCTTCTCGTACTGTGGGGGCAGAGGGGCCACAGGTGAGGGCCTGG